CGTGACCAACGCGACTATGGTGCAATTGAAAAAATGCGTTGTTTTAAGGAAAAACTTCGAGACGGAGTTTGGACAATTGAGAGATTCCTATCAACAGTATCATATTTCTTTCAAAACTTCAAAGTAGTGTAAGATAATTTTCCAAGTTTTTGTATAACACTTCTTATTTTTATAGTTTATCAATTTTTTTACTAAACTAATTAGTTTAACTTTATTTCATAATCTGTTACTTTCCATGAAATATGGAAAATTGTATTTGAAGTATTTAAATATTTTTAGTGCTTTGGATGAAAACTCAATGAACGAGGATGGTGAGAGTCTTCCTTTGCCAACTTCTACTTCAACAGAGTCACCGAAGTGCGTTGTTTGTACCGTCAATGAACAAAACGCATTAGTAATGCCTTGCAGACATTTTTTGTTTTGTCAGCCCTGCATTCAACAAGTCCAAAAAAGCAACACAGCTCATTGTCCCACTTGCCGAGGATTAATATCATCCATAATTGAACTTTTTCAATGATTCAGTATAATTTTTCCTTTTACCTATACTTTAAAAACTAGAATGTCACACAATTGTTTAAATTTATTAGAAAAAATTTATTATATAAAAGCGGTATTAATTTTTTTCTTATTGCTCCGCCTAGAATAAAAAATAATCAATAACGTAGTTTTCTAGTTTAAATAAATGACTTTAAATTTCATTTAAGCCTACAAGATTTTCCGTAAGTTGGCGTATTGTATTGGTTTCAGTTGAGCAAACCCCATATTATGTTAAGGATAAGTACAAAATAAATTCCATCTCCCTAGAAACAATAGTCATTTACATGTTAAAGTTATTGTATGGATAAATGTAGCATAAAATTCTACAGCTGCTTGTCTAGCAAAATTAAATAAGTTTCCTTGAAGCAAGTGACAGTATCAACAAAAGACTTATAGCGAGGGTTGCTATTTTAGGATTAGCACTTTCGTGTGCACAAGCGTGTTAGAAGCAACTTTTTGCTTTTAACTTTTTTAAACTAGGTTTTAACTTGTCTAGCTAGCTTTTAACTTGTTTAACTAGGTTAAAACTAAGAAGAAGAAAACGAGTGCTAAAACATTTTGGGCCGGGATCATAACTTGTTACAGTCAGCAAAAAAATATATAGAAATTAAACAAAAATCTATATAATTGGAAAGAGTTCGTCAAAAAGTATGTGAAAACCGTATGCTGAAAATATTTCCTTTCCGAAATATAACACCTTATAGATTATATAAAACACAGACCCAGATTTTACAGACCAGCACATAACAGCTATAAAAAAGGTTTTTTCATCCTAAATTTGCTTTATAATAAATATGCATTTTGTTTAAAGAGTTGCTATTGATATAAATTTTCTATTAAAAGTAAGTTTCTATTAAATTTATAACGTCCTTACTGTTGGTAGGGGTGGGGAGGGGGAGGGGATAATCGTGAGCGATTGACATCCCTTTTTTGACCAAATGCTCTTAGTTTCACGCTATAAAAATTGATTAAGATTTGCTATTCTTGACCACAATTTTCTCCGAAACGATCAACCTAACCTAAAAATCTTTACGCTATGGGCTTGTATATCTATAGAAGGTCATTGATTGTACTTTTTATAAAAAGTACAATCAATAACCTTCTATACATAATATAAATTATTAGAAGATTAGTAAATTTACTAATCTTCATATATTTTATTCACTAATATTTTTATTCTTTAAGTTAGTCGAGTTTCCTAAAACGCATTACAAAAGTTTTTATGAATATACTTTGCGAATAATATATTAACAAGTATGATTGAACATGGGCTACGGCATGGGAGTGTACTTACATTGGCTACGTCATAAGGGGAGGTGTCAAGGAGGCCTTTTCCCTCCCCCTCTATCAGAATTTGTAGTAAGGACGAGTTTTTTTTTTTACAATGTAGGTTTTTAGTAGTTATTTTTGGAATTTTATGTTTTGCATAAAATTCCAAAAATAACTACTATAAAATATTTAGTTAACATACTATAAAATATTTAGTTAACTAAATATTTTATGTAAGTTAAAAATAACTTACATAAAATATTTAGTTAACATTCAACGCAGTGAGCCTAAAATCATTTTGTTAAAAAATCACTAAAGGGCAAATGTTGTCAAGCATTTAAACAAAGGCGATCTTTTTTATTATTTCCAAAAGATACAACACGTTATCTATGATAAAAATAACATTGTTGTTGCAGATGATAAACAACATTATTTATAACTGCGTCACTTGGATTTGATTTACAATTTATAAGCGGATAAAGAAGCCTGAAAATAAGTAAAGTTTGAACTGTACTTTATAAAGTGCACCACCACTTTTGTGAAATATTATGTTCATAGTTTGGTCATTAACATGGATTTGTAAGTTTTATCATACTTCGCTTTAACGCGTTGCAACGCGTAAAACCAAAATATGATAAAGTTCAGGTATAATGTGACTCTTCGTTCACATTTCCATCTTAACAACAAAAATATTTGCATGATATTTCATAAAATTGGTGGTGCACTTCATAAAATAGAGTTCAAAATTTACTTATTTAGGGTTAGAGCCATTACTGAAAAATTTTCAGAATTTTTTTTTTTGCTCATTATACCAAGTTTAACGTCATGGCTCCCGGCCCTAAATGTGAAAAATGTTTCTTCTTAGACTTTTACATATTTTCTTGATATTTATAAATGTAAATGAATCTTAATTCTGACAGTTTGAAAAAGCTTTTTTTTTTAAACTTGAGTTAATTTTTATAGTTTTAACAGTTTTTTTTACTCTTAGTCTAATTTGCCCCAAAATGGGAAGACGGGCATTGTGAATTTTTACATTTTTACTTTATTGTCCTGAATGGACGATTGGGCCAAGAACAATCAAAGTTCTGTAGAAGAAATTTGACCTAATATTTTTACGTATTTTCTTGTTATTTATAAGTGTTAATGAATTTGTTCACCTTGACCGTTTAAAAAAACTCTATTTCTTTATCTAAAGTTAATTTTTACAATTTTAACGAAGCTTTTATAGCTTTTGATCCAATTGCCCCAAATGGGTAAACGAGGAGTGGAATTCTTACCTAGGGGCCCCTAATATGAGAATGATAATTTGTAGAACTGAATGCTTTAGTAAAAAAGAAAACAACAAAAATAATTCAGCATAAGTACTTCACTGAAATTCCTTCTTGATAGTATACGAAAAATAAAGTTATTATCAAATTTAGTGCCATAAATCCTTAAGAAAAACTCAACAAATCTTGACGCGAAATAGGCGTTATTGAGCCCAACATAGATTGTCATAACTTGGGAACCAGTTATCCAAATTTAAAAAATGAACACATTCTGAAAGCTTCTTCATTATTCGCATATAATGGTATTAATTATAACGAGAGATAATTGTAATAGTAAAATCGTGTGAAGTGCCTACTGTAAATAAAATCAATACATCTTGTTTTGAATCGTGTTATAAATAGCCAACAACACAACATTCAATATTTTTTGTCGTAGTAATAGAGCTTTTTGTTTATATTGTATAAATTTTACAGTATAATACTACACTTTAATTAAAAACCAGAAAAAACCTCAAAAAACTGCCGTCTATTTATTCTGCTTTTGAAATTTTCAAACCTATTATTAAAATTCACCTTTTCGATATTTCTGGAAAGTCCTTTTTCGATTTTATTCCTTTTTTCACAGTTTCGATATAATTCTGGAAAGTCCCGTTTCAATATTGTACCTTTTTTTACAATTTCGATATAATTCCGTTTTTTGAAATATCGATTCTATTCTTTTTTTCACACTTTCGATATTGTTCCGGTAAGTCTTTTTTCAATATTATTCTCTGTTGAGATTATTCTGCTTTTAGGATTTTCGATACTATTCCTTTTTTAACAATTTTGAAATTTCTTTTTCAATATTATTCCGAAATATCAATATAGAATAAAAAACAGAATAAATGCAAATAGTATAATAAAATATAGTAGTAGGAAAATTACTTGAGGAACGTGTATTAAGTATTGAGTAAATAGTTTTAGGTATTAAGTAAATATATATATATATATCTTTTCGATATTATTCCTTTTTTCACAATTTCGAGGTTATTCTATTTTTCGGATTTTCGATACAATTCCTTTTTTTACAATTTTGATGTTATTCCGAAAATTCCCTTTTCGAGATTAATCAGTTTGGCCGTTTTCGATACTGTTACTGCTACCCTGAATTTCATAGTTTTACTAGACATTGCTTTTCAGCGTTTCACTGAAAAGCGATATATTTATAACACAGTAGATGATATAATCAAAAACCTATTCCGACGCTTGAAGTTTTGTGCAAATTGATTACCCGATAATTAGAGGTGTCCCACTTAGTGAAATTTTCTAAAGTTCTATAAAAATTTATGAAGTAAAAACAAGTTCTGCCATTCTACATTAAAAACAGTGCTAAAGATTTAAAAACATAAAATCAATAAAATACTGGTATAACATAGGTATATGCGTTAATAATGTATAAAGAAAAATCATTTTCTATAGTAAAACATGCAGGGAGTTATGAGACATACGTCAACTGACTCAAATAGGTAAAGCATGCAGGGAATGTACATTCATCGACTAAGTATTTCAATTAAGCAATTAGTTAATTAGGCAATAAGTTAAAAATATAGTTTGTGTTAATAAGTGTTTAAAAATCTAGACAAACACTTATTGTTATATTCCGATCAACAATTTACACAAAACTTCAAACGTCAGAATAGGTTTTTGATTCTATCGTCTACCTTAAAAAACTATGACTCTTTAACTATAGTGTAAGAACTCTAGTCCAAAGTAAAAAAACTGTTCCAAAGCTCCTGGAGCTATTCACAAAGCTCCTGGAGCTATTCACAAAGCTATGTTTCTATACAGATAGTGTATAACAAGCTATTATGTTTCTATACAGATAGTGTATAACAAAAGCTATTATGTTTCTATACAGATAGTGTATAACAAGCGAGAAAAAACAAATTTTGACTGATAAATTGTATTATGTTTAAAAAAGAGAAGATCACAATATTGTGCTATAAACATTTACATGTATAAGGAGTCAACGAGGATACAAACAGACATTCTTTTAAAAAAATTAGTACATATAATTTATTTGTATGTGCATGGGTGATGTTCGAATTTTCGCATTTCTTTGAACCAAATATAACGCTCATACCAATAATTTTCCAGCACTGTAAAAAACTTACAAACTGTTCTTTATCGATAATAAACGACAATAATACAGAAATATTTCCAAACACAAACAGACAAAAAATTACATAAATCTTAGACACCTCAAAATCTACTCGACTTTCTTTTTTCTTTCTAGTTAATAAAAATTATAGAAATCTGAAAAAGCCAGCAGAGCATATAAAATAATAATTTAGGCTTAAATCACACATTCTTAAACTGTTTTAAAATCTGATAACCTAGAAACCTTTCTTTGTATCTATATTCATATTTCTAGCGCAAATAATAAACTTAAAAATAAAAAAATAAAAGACAAGACTAGATGTTTAACAATAAACAAAACAAAAAAAAAAAACCCGAACAGAACTGTGATGAAACGAAAAAGATGACTAAATAGACAATACAGTATGAAAAACAAAAACAAAAAAATACTAAAAATTTAAGTCAATTCATAAATAACTGCATACATAAAACTGTTTTCATCATGTAGTCAAAAGTAAAGTTATACTATCAAGACACTAACAAAACAGCTTGATACCCTTGATACAACTTCTTGCTGATTCTCAAATATTATCTAATAATAGGTCTTTTGACTTGAAGTGAAACTTCTATCGATATCTCATTGATTTAATGATGGTTAACTATTTACACTTTTAAGCTCTTGGTAGAACTGAACCACTAAACAAAAAGAATTAAACAATAAAGCTTCATTGTATGTTGGGCATCTATCATGAAGAAGCTATTAGGATTTAGACTTCGTTTCATTGAAACAATAAAAATCTAAGAATACTTTTCAGCGATATTGGAAGGGCAAACTTTCTGAGCAAAAAATAAAATAAAAATAGAAGCATGACTAAAAATGATAAAAAGTTACATTTTTTAAACTATTAAAACAAAAAAGGCAAAACCACAAAACCAAAAGCACATATACTCTATTAGCAAAAATTATTTTATTTAAATATAAAACTTTTTCATTTAAAAAATTTCTTTTCTATTTTGAGTGTATTTTATAAACGTAAAAGTAAAATCTGTAATTAACTTACAAATGTTTTACTTTAAGAAAAACACCCTTGATATAAACCTACATTAACTAATAACGATAAAATATATATATTTTTTGCAAAAACTTCTATGCAATTTAACGTTGTTTTCATATGTAAAAACTTCAAATCTATTAAAATTTATATTATAGCACTAGTCTTAAATTCAAAACTATATTTAAAGTCTACAGCACTAAATAATAATATTATTTAAAATAACTTACCTAATTATTTGTTAATACCACAGTTTAGTCTTACCTCAAAAAACTTTAATAAGGCCTATATGCTGGTCTTTTTTCATCTTCTTTTGAAGGTCCATATTGTGAACTCTGTGAATTATAATACATGTCATAAGATGACGAGGCTGGATAACCAGTTGCATAGCCCGGAGTACCACTGTTACTCTTTAAAGGAGCTCTGTTTGTATCTTGATCTTTATTAAGTAGAACTGATAAAGCATTGACATCAATACCTTTACCATTAAGTAGCTGAGCCAGCTGGTTTATAGTATTAGCATTTGCAGCATTGGAAGAGTGAGCTAAACCAGCAGAAGGAACAATTGGTCCAGGCAAAGAAACTGCTGGAGGTGCCTGATTCATAAGAGCTTGCAAAAGTGTATTATTTACAGATTGAGTGTACGAAGCAACACCACCTAAACCCAATAAAGCAGTGGCAGTAGGCGCCTGAAGTCCTGTAATGAAAGTGAGAGAATTTAATAAGTCAGAAATTATCATTAAAATAATATTTTAAATAATCACAAACATTAAAGGTAAATATATTAGAAACGCTAATATCTTTGAAAATATATAAAGTTTAGTCAAGTATGACTGATTAAGACCGAGAATTCTGTCAGAAAGTGATTTTGTGGTTACTTTATTAGTTTTAATGAATGCTTTATCAAAAAATGATTGTTTTATCAAAATGTTCATATATTAATTATTAAAGAATATTATATATAATTTTATTTTTTTATTTAAAAAGTATGTATTTTTTTATAAGTCACTTTGACATTTTAAAATAACTATTAGTTAAATATTCTTATATATTATGCAAAACGCCTTTAAATAATAACAAATAGTAATAAACAAAAGTAAAAAGTAAGTTAACCTTAACTTTTATAATATGTAACTTGAAAACTTTAAACTGTTCTATAGATTTTTTTAAAGCTTTTAAATAATTTTTTTTAATTACAATTTTTTCTTTCAATAAAAGTTCTTTATAAATTTTTAGTACTGCATTTTTTTTTTAATAGCTTTTTAGTTAAGTTTGGTTTAGATTTTTCAGTGCAATTTAAAAACCTGTAAACCTTCAGAACACACAAACAGCCTTCGTCTTGAAAAAATATATTATGCTCAGACTAGGCATCATAATGCATACACTTTATGTAACAGCCTCTCTCTCTCTCTCTCTCTCTCTCTCTCTCTCTCTCTCTCTCTCTCTCTCTCTCTCTCTCTCTCTCTCTCTCTCTCTCTCTCTATATATATATATATATATATATATATAGGGCTCGAATTAAGCGTATCGCAATTGCTTTTTATACTTTCGCAATTAGTTTTTTCTTAAAACATATATTCTTACGATTGGTTTACTTTTTTAGTTGTTTATTATTTTTCTTTTCTAATTTAGCTTTTTTTTTTTTGGCAATTCTTAAAAAGTAATGTTTTCATAGTAAAGTACGTCATGTAAAGTTTGTTTTTTGATTAGAAAGATGATCATTTGCTTTTTCGCGCGGAGATTTTTATTCAACGTAAAGCACTTTTTAATTTAAATTACTTTAAATCTCTGTGCAAAAACAAAATTTTTTAATTTTATTTGCATTCACTCCCAACAAGGCTGCAAGCAACCACTATTAAGTTGGGAGTTACTAGGAAAAAAAAGAACAGAGTTATGGAGCAAGGAAACGGTTGACGGAAGACTTGAAAAGTTGAAGGTTGTATGAGTCAGGAAAACATGAAGATGGGAGAGAGTTCCAAAGCATTGAAGTGCGGGGAAAAAAACTAGATGAATAAAAGTTTTTAGAGCATGCAGGGACAGATACAGTAAACGAATGAGACTTAGCTGAATGACGAGTAAAACGAGAATGAATTTAAGTTGATGGAACTAGAGATGATAACTCCTTTCAGCAGTGACCATGATAGTATTTGTAGAAAAGAGAAAGAGATGCAACTTTACGACGATGGGAAAGAGGTTCAAGCTTAGCAGATAGTCCAGGTCCAACAACATTTACAATGTGTTTTTGGACCTTGTCAAGAAGAGAAAGTGAATCGTTAGAAGAACCAGCCCAAATATGACAACAGTATTCCATACAGGGATGAATAAGAGATTTGTAGAGGTAGAGAATGAAATCAGAAGTAAGGAAATGGCGAGCACGATAAAGAGAAGCAACCTTAGCAGAAGCTAATTTAGCAATCGATTGTATATATGGTTTCCATGAAAGGTTAGTAGTAAGCGATAATCCAAGACGTAAAGAGGAGGACTCAGTAAGAGGATTGCCATTCATTAATATAGGAATGTTGACCATATTACGGTAGTTGTTTGCAGTAAGCAACTGGGTTTTTTTTAGAGTTGAAATTCACGAGCCACTGTGAACCCCAATCTATTACTGAAGTGAGATCGGAATCAAGATCAGCTGCTTGTTCTAGGCAATCGAAAAGAGAAAACTTTTTGTCAAGACAGGAGTATAAAGTTGAGTCATCAGCAAAAAGAGCTACTTTAGATAAAAGGTTGTCAGGAAGATCGTTTATGTAGATAAGAAACAAGACAGGGCCCAGGATGGAACCTTGGGGAACCCCAGAAGTTACGGGAAATAAAGAAGAGTGTTGGTCTTCAAGGATGACTTTAATAAACCGGTTAGAAAGAAATGATTTGATAATCTCAAAAACTTTCCTAGAAACACCATATGAAGCAAGCTTATGGAGAAGACCAGCATGCCCAAATTTGTCAAAAGCTTTAGATATGCTGAGAGCAATAGCCCTAGCCTCACCGCCTCCATCTAATGCACGATAAAATCTTTCAGTTACAGCAGTTAGCAAGTCGGCTGTAGAGCGAGAGGATCGAAAACCGTATTGATTGTCTGACAGTAGTTTATTTGACTCAAGATGAGATGTGAGGAATTTGTTGATCAAAAACTCAAAGACCTTGCTAATAACAGAAAGAAGACTGATCGGACGATAATTGGAGGGGTCAGAATTTTCTCCAGAGTTTTTGAATATTGGAACCACAGATGCCATTTTCCAACAAGCAGGAAAACAAGACTCAGTCAAACACTTGTTAAATAGTTTAGAGAGAATTGAAGAAAGTTCTGGAGAACAATTCTGCAAGACTGTGACAGGAATGTTGTCTGGACCACAAGCTGTAGACGAGTTTAATTGAGATATGACTTTAGCAACAGAAGCCGGAGTGATTTGAATGTCTAACAATTGAATGGAGTGATTTGAATGTCTAACTCCAAATTAAATTAAAAAGAATTTTTCTTCATTTTATCTTTTTGACAAAACAGTATTTTTATCTTTTTTTTTTAAAAAATGTTGCTCCAAATTAACTTATTAATAATGAATTAAATTATTATTTTATAAACAATTTTAGTTATTTTTATTACTTTAAGTATAATAAAATATATATTAATTCATTTTTATTAAATAAATTATTTTTATTAAATAAATTATTCATTTTTATTAAATAAATTATTTTATTAAATAAATTAGTAAAATTGTACTAATAGAAACTAGCAACTTTTTTAATTCTACGTTTTTCGCTTTTAACGACCTTGAAACTATTGAAGTTATATTTAGTTAACTTTACTGAATGGATAGAGTATATCACAGTAAATTAACTTATAACCTAAATCAAAAACAACTAGTTAAGTTAAGATATTAACTTGCAGTTACTTAAGTATTAATTTAAAGGGATCCCCAAGTGCCGAGACAAGTTATGTTCATATCATAGATAAACATTAGAAAATAAGTTTAAAACTAATTAAACTTTTACCAAAACAAATATATATATAAATATATAAACAACAACGTATCCAGGCCGATTTTGATACTGGTATATCGGTATGGGCCCCCAAATTTCTGCTCAAACTCAATTTAAAACAACTTTACATTAGTACCTAAAAAATTAAAATAATTCTTTATTACTTATTGTCATGTGTTTTGTCATAAAATTATGATGCTAAAATTTGTTATGTTATTAATGTTGCTTAGAAAAATCAACATTGAAAAAACTTTTAAAACACGTTATTTGTTTTTTGTTATTCACATTCTCAAGGCTGAGAAGGCCACTACAGATGAGGAGGCTACTTAATAGTGGTTATAACCCTCTCTCAACTCTATAACTCCGAATGCTTAATTCAAACTAATAAATCAGAATGCTTAATTCAAATTCAAATTGATGAAATATGGAATATGTTACAATTGGATTAAAATGGAAAATGCACATTTTGATTGGATTAAAAATATGAAACGCTTAGCGTTTTTAAATAAAAACATTGACATTTAAAAAATACTCTAATATGAGTTTCTCCTCCTCTTATATTTTCATAATTTTCAAAGCAATTCAACTATATGAGCTTTAAACTTTTTCATTTCAAATAACAGTAAAATTGCATTTAAAATATTTTAAATAATAAAATAAATAAAAGTTTTTAAAACATAATAACATAATAATCACGCCAAAAAACTTAATTTGAAAAGTAAGAAAAGAACAAGAAAAAAAAACTTAGCAATTTTTAAATGAATTAAATAAAACTTTGAATGAATTGATCTTGCAATAAATACGCAATGTAATAAATCTTTTTAGTCTATATAAAAGAAACATAGAAATATTGTTTATAAAATATTATAATTATCGCTTGATTATGAAATAATTCTCTTTATATTAGCAAGTAAATTAAGCATGTAAATAAAAATTAGCGGCAAATCAATGTTGGCGTTAAAGCCATCATTTCGTAATAAATGTAACATTAATTTTAATTAACTAATTACATTTTTATTTGGAAAAACGTAAAATACTAGGGCAAGTTATATTACATAAAAAAAATTTTTTTTTTTTAGATCAGTATGCTTAAATATTTTCTGGATACGTCACTGATATATATATATATATATATATATATATATATATATATATATATATATATATATATATATATATATATATATATGAATAAAAAAATAAGTATATAAATATATTAATAAATAAAGTAAATAAGTATATAAATATAAAAATAAGTATATATGTATATAAAAGAATGAATAAAAATAACAATTATAAATTTGAATAGCCCTTTCTGTTTTTATAATTATTTATACTGTTGTTAACAGCAAAAGGGAAAATCCAAAATAAATTTATAAGTAGATTATAAGTTGATTAAAAAAATAACTACAAAAACGCTTTAGTCCAGATTTTTTTAATAAAAAAATTCATATCAGATTTTCTTATGCAAGGAACAAATTGGCATTAAAAATGACAAAGTTTTATGTAAATATGAAAGTGAATAATTTGTTTTAGAAAATTGAATTAACTTTAAACTTATTATTGAAATTATTTAAAATATCAACACAATTTTTATTGACACTTAGAGATCCTATAAGAAATGAGATATCTTGAAATAACTTACAAATAAACTTAATTGTTTCTACTCTGCCTTTTTAATCATAAAAGACTAATTATAAAAGTTAATCTATAAATACAAATAAATGCAGATGCTAACCATAACATTTTGTGGCTAAGTGTTGAATTTTAAGTAATAAAAATTACTTAACATATTAACACAGTATCTTGTATAAATACAAAGTTATTAACAATAAGTTGCAACCATGGTTGGGGTCAAAAACATATTTTAATTTTAATTTAATTAAAATGTATTTGTAATTTCATAAACTAGACTGACTGGTGTGTTTTTGGAAAGAGGTTTTTTTCTTTCTTTTATTTTTAACACGAAAATAAGTTAAAAATCTGTTTTTAAGTGATATTTGTTAAAACATGTTTATATTCTTCTATTTAGTATAACTTTTATTGTATTGTCTCGAAAAAGTATTTTTTCTTAACCTAAAAACACATATTTGCATTTGTAAAATGCTGATTACATATATTTGTATATGGAAATCTAGAACTAATGTATTTGTATTTGACCCCCAACCCTTGTTGCAACTAAATAAACACTTTGAGCAATATTTAATTAATATAAAATAATGCATAGCTAAAAATAAAATAGGAAGTTAAAATTAACAACAAGAGCTAAACATTTTTAAACAATTGTATTTAATTATATTGTACCTGTATTCTGCAAAACACTTTGCTGACCCATTGCATATGCTTGTTGAATAAGTTGATTCACTTCATTTAAGTTCATTACTCCTAGAGATGTTTGCTGGGAAGCTAGAAAAATAATTAAAAAATGAATTACATTTTAATGAAAAAAAAGTTTTAGTTTAACTTCAGTTAACATTAACTTAAACTTTTGCTATTTTTGTTCTATATCTATATCTATATGAGTACAAATTATGGCTTTTAAATATTGAAGCGCTCTACCTTCATCTGAAAAGAGTGAAAAACTCTTCAGTACAGATGCTGTTGCGTATGAAACTATGAGGAGCAGATTGTGTCTTGAAAATTGCAAAGCTCTAAAGATTCAACATTACAACTTGGGCAGACAGTGAAACCAGGAAGCTGAGAGAAGCAGACTACCTTATTTCTTAAATTTATTTAGCTTAAAAAAGCATATACTATGTACTTATCCTAAACTTTTTTATTGTTAGTTGTTAGTTTTTGTTCAAGTTATTTTTAGTCAAACTATAACACTTATGTCGAAATTTTTAATTTTAGTTTTAGTAAAAGATAAGAAACCATAGTAACAGCAGATTATAAACTAACAAAATAAATTGGCAGTAATGCAAATATTACAAGAACCGGAATTTGCTTGACCAATGAAACCAATTATAATTATATGCAAAATAATCAATCCGCCCATGTATGATATATATATATATATATATATATATATATATATATATATATAAATAAATATAAATAAAACAAATAAGATGACTGGTTTTATAAATTTGACTAAACTTTACTGTGAGTTAAATCCATCAAACACATTTAGCTTTAAGGCGCGGCGCAACTATAAAAAGTTATGCCGATGAACTACAATATATAGTAAATAGCAGGCGTGGTCAGGAAGGCATGCGATTGCACACCATTATATGGTCAACCCAAACAATACTTTATTTTGACAATTTGACCACAGTTTTAATATTTAAAAAATGCGCTGAAAAAAATTATTTTAATTACGCCAAAAATAAATAACTTTGAAACTATCATTTTTATATTAGCGAAATGCTTTTAAATAAAGTACCGTTAAAGTTTTAATATAAAGTACAGATGAAAGTTGTATAAATTTTTATTTATATTATTTAAATATATATAAGATTATACAACTAATAAATAAAATAATATATAAGATTTTTTTATAAATAATCTTTTTTATTTTTTATTTATTTAAATTTTATAAGCGACGACTATATAACAACTGTCTCTTCAATAAACTTTATTTAAGAATTATTAAAGTTAATACACTCAAAAGGATTTTGTTAAGAATAAAAAAAGTCAATCTTTTGAATTGAAGACAGCTGTTTGAATGAAATAACATTGATCTTTACTAATGTTTTTACATTATTAAAACACTTATAAATAGAGAAACAATTCACTGCTAACGATTTCTTATATAAAGTATTAATGTGTTTTTCTTAAGTCTTTAAATAAAAAAATTATCGATTAAATTTAATATACTTGAAATACAACAATTTTTTTTGCAATAATGTATGTTATTTAATGTATGTTATTTAAAAGTAATTTTTGTTAAAAGAAATATATAAATATAATATATATATATATATATATATATATATATATATATATATATATATAATATTATAATTATTATAATTTATATTATATAAAATTTTTATAATTTAAATTATAATAACTTTTTTTTCTTTAGTCTTTAATTAAATAAATTATCAAATTAAGTTAATAAATTAAATTATTAACAAATGAAATTAAATTATCAATTTAAGTAATAGTTTTGTTAATTATTTTTCGTTTTTATCTTTATTTTTCCTTATTTGCTACCTGATATTGAATTTCTGACAAAAGAAACAATTTAATTATTTTTTTTGTTTACATTACTACAAAGAATTGTTAAGTTTTTTTTATTTATTTTTTAAATGTGCGTATTTATTAAAAAACTGTTGGAAATTGTTACTTAATTTAAAAGGATTTCACTTAGTCTGTATAAAAGAAAAAACATGTTATTTTTGTTCGTAAGTCAGTCGTCATTTTTGTGAAACAAAATCCCCCCCCCCTAAAAATAAATGTTATTAAAAAAAGTTATTTTTAAAAGTGTTTATTTACATTTTTTGTTGATTAGTACTATTTATTTATTATTATTTTACTCTTAATCTAATTTTATATGGTGCCGTAACAAAGCAGATGGGATGCGACTAGTTTTACATTATTAAAGCATTAGTAAAGATTCAAAGTTATTTATTTCAAATGTAATTATAAAGGCAATTTGAATAAACTTATTGTTTATTATTTATTTTAGTTAAGTTTTATTTTTATTATTAAACTTTTTGCAAACCCGGCCCCTGCAAAATTATAGGATTTATCAGGGGTTGATAGCTAAAAAAAAAATTTACAATACTTAATATATTATAATTTTATTCTTACATTTACTTTTTATTAAATACTGGCACACACACACACACATATATATATATATATATATATATATATATATATATATATATATATATATATATATATATATATATATATATATATATATATACATACTTTTAAACTCTGATTTATTTTAAAAAAATTAAAAAAAAAAGATCCTCGAATTTTAATTTGGGCGACGCCCAAATACGGTCAACACTGTCGAAAATGGTCTAGAATAGCCCCTGACTATTAAGTTACAAGTTAGAAGACTTAAAAATTTGTAATTAGTATAAAAAAAGAAAACATGAAGATGGGTAAGAGTTATAAAGTTTTTTTTGATGTTCAAGGAAAAAAACTAGATTAATAAAAATATTTTTTAGCATGAATGGACAGATATAGAAAAAAGATGCAACTTGTTGAATAAAAAAGCCAAGCAAGAAAGAGTTTTGGTTTATTGTAATAATAGCTCATTTAAAGATTAACCATGATTGTATTTGTAGAAAAAAAAAAAGAAACGCAACCTTAAAACAATGGGAGAGTGGCTCTTGGCAGAAAAAGCAGGTTTAATTACATTTACAATGAGCTTTTAGACTTTGTCTTGAGAGTAAGAAACTTGTTCTAAGCAATTAAAAAGTTAAGATTTTTAGTCAAAACAAGAGTATAAAGTTTAGCTGCCAACAAATTGAGTCACTTTTGATTTGATGAAGATTGTTATTGTAGATAAGAAACAATACAGGAGCAAAGATAGAACCTTGTAGTATCCTTAAAGTTACTTGGAATAAAGAAGAGGGTAGGCCTTCAAGAATAACTTTACTACAGCAGTTAGAAAGAAATAATTTAATAACCTTAAAACCTTTATATAAATAAACTAATAAAAGAATAATCATAGGATCATTTGAGAGGTCAAAGTGTTTTTTAGAGTTTTGAAAAATTGGAACCACTTATTTAGCACTTTTTAGATGTTTAGCAAAAATTTAAAAGAGTTCTGGAGAACACTTTTTTAAGACTATGATGGAAATTAAATTGTAGGTTTTTAATTGAGAATTAACTTAAGCATTGAAAGCTAGAGTGATTTCCATATTTAACAACGGGTTAATCTGTTCAACTGTCAGGAAGAGTATGGCCATTATATTCAAGAGTCAAATTAAAGTAAAATTTTCTTGCAAATAGCTATAATAACTAATACAAGATCAGACCCATGAATTAGAGATTTAATGTTAGACTTAGTTTATGACATTGTTGAAGACTAACCAAAAGTCTCTAGAACCTAACATCTAAGATAAGATACAAGATTTAGTAAAATGAGAATAACAGCTTAACATCAGACAGGACTTTTTTACATTGGCTTCTTGCAATAATAAAAGGACATTTGTTCTTACGAGAGATGTTCTTGTAATAAAAGGTGCAAAAAACAATTAATACTTAATAAAGCAACTGCTCAAGATGGCAAAAACTGTGGAGTAGAATGAGGCTTGACTTAAAACTGAAGAGAAGTAGTAAAAGCTTCTTAACTTTTATTCCAGTAAGAATATAAGCTTCCAAGATGAACTATATACATACATATTATGAATATAAACATATATGTTTGCTTTTTATTTAGATGCTGGCATACAATATTATTTCATTGTTATATAAACTTTAGTATTTATATGATGTAGTATTTGCTGAAAGAGAAGATGATCAGATGGATGTGTGATGTGACTCAAGCAAAAAAAGGAGGCATAATCTTAGATAGATTAAAAAAAAAAATGTTGTATCAAACAATCTTTATTAGTGAACATTAAAGTAATTTAGGTATCAGCATGTAGAGAGGTAGCAGCTTCAGTAGAAAACAGTCTAATGATCTGAAAATCTATATTCCAGGACTGTGGCTACCATGCTATACATGCATATGCTAACCACAGTGTATTTGTGCCAGATGAAGCCATTAAGTGTGTTTTCACACACAATTTAATGTCTTTTACATACTTTTTTCATGACTTTAAATTTTAATCATTTACCAGGCTTGGTCGGGAAGCGGGTGCGATCGCACTCGATAACTGACCACAAAAATAATATTTAGTTGCAAAAAACTGGCCAGATTTTTTTGTCGTTTTGAGAACATTGAAGTTTATGTATGTTTCCTTGTTTGTCTGCAAAATAATAAGTTCATTTTGTCGTAAATTTTAAAATATTTTGTTTTACGGTCTTACATGGAAACGTACATAAACTTGAATGTTCTCAAACATCTTAGTGCGGAAAAATAAAAAAAATATTTGCGAGCACAAAAAACCCGCCAAATCTACAAACAACTAATTCTATTGGTTCAAAAAATACTAACCGAAATTTCTAGAGTATTAAAAAAAACTAACCGAATGTCCTGACTATTCTGTTGAAATATTTAAAAAAACTGTATTATTTGAATTTTGTTACGTTTTTGTTAAGATTTCTAGCATAAATTATTTTAAGAGAATACTATCAAACGAACTAATATTTTAATTCTTGGAGCCACATCTGCAAAGCTATAAATACTTAAACAAACATTTGTTTACAATAATAAATGTTTTAAATTTATATTTTTTAACTTGTCAACGTTTCGTAAATATATTTTAGATTTTATTAGTATATTATTATTTTTTATATATAAGGGATGTATTTTTTATGTATGTAATTTTATCTATGTGTATTTTATTAAAACGTAATCTTTTAAAGCAATTTGTGCGATTGATTTTGTAAACAAAAATACTTTTAATAATAACTGCGTTTTCAATGAAATTATTAATAATCGTCAAAGTTAATACAAATAATTTTAATTACTAATCCATTTTCCTCAGTGTACTCGATAACTGATACTTTCTCCCAAGAAAGAAAAGTTTTTAAGTTCTTAGAAATCGGTTTACTAACTTCAATTATTTTTGCTTCAGCCATTCTTACAAATTCGTTATACTTAAAGTTTCTTTTTTCTATTTTAAATAATAATTAAAATTATAAAGCCTATTCACTAAACATCATCAGCGGTATTGTGAAACAGTTCCACTTCCTCCTCACAATGTAATTTAACGTTTTTTGTTAATTTCTATCTGCTAATTGAATTTCTACAGTAACTCAATGACTTGATTATTTCATTTGTTCGTCTTATTAAGAAGAATCGTTTCAAATCTGTTAAACTTTTTAAACTACGCGAATCATAAAACAGTTATTGAAAAAACTTTTTTATTTATAAATAAATCATCTGGTTGAATCTTGTTGGACTTTTCAGGGCCGGGGGCTGCATTATTTTGGCGGCCTTTTTTATGTGCCACAGCGTAAAAATGACTTAAAAAAATACTGAATGGTCTTCTTGACTATTTTCCCTAACATTGCAAGTTCCGCGGCTAAAGCCTTACTACCCCCACCCCACTTCCTCAATCCAGCACTGGAAATAAGATATAAGTATATAAATGAAAATTATATATACTCTTTGATAAATCAAAGAACAATTGTTTCTTTATAGTTGTTACTTTATACAAAAAATGTCGCTTTATTTTATAAAAAAAGTTATAAAAGAGCGACATTTCAAAAACAATTGCTCTTCACGTTTTTTCGCGTTAAAAGCTATTTTACTTTTTTTAACTGTCTCTCGTCGGTCCAGTTAATCTTACTGCGCTTTTTTGTTTGTTTTTGAAATGTTCTTAAAACAACTAAAAAATCTGGTAGGTTTTTTACAACTAAATAATATTTCCGTGGTCAATTATCGAGTGCGATGGCACCCGCTTCTCGACCAAGCCTGCATTTACTAAACTTAAATTTATTTAGGCTCTCGTCTAATAAGCAACTTGATAACTTAAATGATGCAATGTTCAAAAGAACTGTAGGGAAAGAACTCATCTACGAATGCTTTTATATAGATAATAGCAAGTCTTTTGTGTATGATGGGCAAGTAGAAAAGTAAATTAAAGAAAAGCAGCCAGAATTTTTACTGGAAATAGTTAAACATTGCATTAAAATTTTTTTGGGATGTTTTCATAAATTGACTATGTGGTTTTAAATGTAAACATACATTTAACTGTAATAAAATTATTAATGTGATTTTGTATATGTTCTATATAAATAAAGTTTGATGATATATAATTGAATAATTGTGTATTATTAACATGCATATTAATAAAGTACCACAAGTGGTTGAGTTGTAAAATGGATACAGAAAGTGGTGTTTAATCTATTGTTTTGAACTTCGAGAATAAATAAAAAAAAAAA